CCTCTCACCCAAGATTTCGTAAGCATGCCCCGGAAAGGTGCCGGGCCCGACATCCAGCTCCCCAGCAGTTTCTGACAGTCCTGCCGGATGTTACCAGCAGAACAAAAGGAATCCGCATCCATTGCAGTATTTTTTAATTATTTCAAAAGAATAATGAAAATAAAAAAAGCAAAGAACAAAATGACTCACGAACTGGCCACGCACACTTCTCGAACCCAGTTAGATGTAAGAGGCGTTGCCATCAAATAGCTTTCATTAGCTCATGATATTCATGCGCTTCAGTGCAAGCTTCCTATTTGTCTTTCGTATAGCATGTTTTTTTTTTTTTTCTTGTTTTTTTTCTTTTTTTTCATGACATGGACTTGATCATATTCCTCCGTCGTGCATCTAGGGCGCCCACTTTTGGCCTGCCTCTCGTGGAACCATCTGCTTGGTGTTGCTGGATCCACAGAGACGTGGTTGACTTTGAATTACCAAATCTTTATTTTTACATTTCGGCACATGATAGTCCCTCTGAGTAAAGCGTAACCATGACGCTACAGATGGTCCATGAGATCTTCAATGTTAATATTGGCATGATGCAAGGCCCTAGCCATAGCATCTCCGAAATACTATTCGAACACATTATGAAGCTTTATCTGTTCCGAGCTTTGAAGACAACAAGCACTAACATTTCCGAATCAACTCCTACCAATCGTTTTGGTTTCATCTACTCCCGAGTAAAGATGTGTGTGTGTGTGTGTGTGTGTGTGTGTGTGTGTGTGTGTGTGTGTGTGTGTGTGTGTGTGTGTGTGTGCGTGCGTGCGTGCGTGCGCGCGCGCGCGCGCGTGCATATACATATCTGTAGGTATGTGTATATATACAAATACACACATATATATAAATATATGTATATTTATGTATGTATACATAAATACATATATATATAATATATACATAATATATATAATATATGTAGCCTGGGCCAACCCTCTCGGAGATGACTCTGTAAGCCGGAATTTCCTCAGGAAAATGAGCCACATGCCCATAGAGCTGAAGTTAGCGTTCTCGTATCAGACTGGTAATAGGTCTTGAATCAATCTCGCAGAGTATCCTCTCCCTCTAGGTACCCCCATGATTCTGCAAAGACACATAGTACCAAAGGAGTCAAGACGGGCCTTCAGAGCACTGTTCAGTGTCCAGGTCTCACACCCATAGAGTAAGACCGGGATCACCAGTGTTCTAAAGAGCCTGATCTTAGTTCTCATAGTCAAATACCGACAGCGCCAAATACTCCTATTGAGTGAGTCCATAATGCCATAGGTCAGTCCGAGTCGTCAAGTGACCTCCCGGTCGGAACCATCCTCTGCCCTCGCCGAACCCAGTTGAGAGAGGGACTTTGACCGGAGTTCCTTACCTTCCAACTCTTCCACGGTGTTCCTAACGTACCTCTTTTGGTCCATTCTCAAAGAGGCCCTAACAGACCGAGACAACTCCCTATGCAAGACATGGTTCCCACCCAGTCTGGCAGCATGATTCATCTCTATAGTTTTCAGTGTCTCGTCCGAGACAACACACCTCCTTCGCCGAGGTCGGACCCCAAGGCACTCCTCGGCAGTTGTCAGAGTTTCCCGCTTAAAGGTATCCCACAGTTCAGCAGTGTCCTGTAGAGTGCCAAGCACTTCAAACCGATTTGAGACCACCACTGCATACTCTTGAGCCACCTCCTCACTCGAGATGAAACACCTGTTGATGAGGTCTCAGGATGCATCTAGATCTAAGGTGAAGCTTTGATGTTGTAACAACAAGTCTGTGGTCGGTAGCAAAGAACTCGGCACTCCTAAAAACTCTACAGTTTTGAAGGATCCTCCAGCGAGTATCCACAAGAATTTGGTCGATCTCTTTAGTTACAATGCCAATATTGGAGTACCAAGGTCAGTGGTGTAGATCTCATTTCTGGTACCACGAGTCCACAATCCTCAGCCTCCTCGATCTTGCGAAGTCTAAGAGGTATGAGCTATTGATGTACCAGAACCATAGGGACCGATGCATAGCTCTTATCCTTTCCTGTCAGTGCCAGTGACCGTAGTGAAGTCCCCCAAGACCATGAGGGTGTCCCCCATTAACCACAATAGAGTCAAGTTTGTTGTACAACATCTCTTTCTCTTCGAGCCCACTTCCCTCAGTAGGAGCATAAACTGCCACTAGAGATATGTAGCCCAAAGTGTGCTTCATTCTCACAAGCAGAATGCGCTCATCAACAGGGGTAACCTTCTTGACTGAGGAACGCTACTCAGCCACCGCTACTCCCCAAATGCGCGCACCATTGCTATAGCCAGACCAGTAGCAGGTATAACCCCCACTATTAGGCTCACCACTACTAGGCCGTCGCGTCTCAGAGAGAGCAGCGATGGCAATCCCCAGCCTCCCCATCTCCCCCGACAACAAAGGCAGTCGATCATCCTCCGAGAGACTGAGGATGTTCCAGGCCGCTACACGGCACGCTCGCCGCAGATTGACCCTATTTGTGGGGCTCCGGCCGGGCGACGCCTCGGCACAACCAGGCAAGCCTCCCAAGGAGGAAGAGTGGGGGCCGGTGGGGGGCCATCCCCCCACCACGTAGCCTCAGGGTGCAAGATTCCCTGGAAGGGCTGTGCCCTACACCCGTCATACCAGGCTTTTCGCTGGATGTGCTGGCGATTTTCACTGTGCACAAAGTACCTGGTGATTGCCTGGTATGTTGTAAGCACGACCTTCTGGGGACAATAGCGAGGACATCATCTACGTACCGAAGCCTGGTAGAATGTCTGCCAATTTTATCCCTGTAATGATCCCTCTCCAGTGTCTCCATGAAGAGGCAGGTCAGTCTCAGCACCACTAATCTGCTGACATTCCTCCCATACAAACTCGAAGTAGCCGAAGTCTCCGCATAACTTCGCAAGACTCACGGAGTGGCGTTTCG